GGGAAGGATGTCCTTGGGGGCAGCAGAGCTGCTGCCTCCCCTTGGGGCCGTTCCTCTAGCCCTTGCCCCCCACCCCAGCATGGATGTGACACCCGGGGAGCCCTGCGCCGGCACTGCTGGGAGCCCCCCCCACACGGCTCGCCCCAGGGTCTGTGCCGAGCCGTGTGTGCCGCAGTGGGTTGGCATCGGTGCAGCCGCAGGTGTGGGAGCGAGGCATCCCTCAGGGCTTGTTTGCAGCGGGATGGGTTTCGGGGACGGTGGGTACCCTGGGCTGCGGACCCCTGGGGACCCGTGCTGGGATGCGGGCGGCCATGGTGGCAGGGGGGGAGCAGAGGGTGGCAGCTGAGGTGGGCATCGCAGGGCAGCACACGGGCTTCGTCCCCCTCCTCTGGGCACGAGTGCTGGAGTTTTGTGGCACAAGAGACGGCTCCAGCATCGGCGCAAGGGGGCTCGACCCTGCTGCGGAGCCCGGTGCCCGAGCCCGGGGCAAGAAGGGACCTGGCCTGGGGAGATGCCAGAGATGCCACTCCCGGTTGCAGGAGCAGGAGGCAACAGCAGGCTCCCGCCTGGAGCAAAGCAACGCCCTGCCCTGGGAGCCCCAGTGCCGCTGGGACCGGGTCCCATCCCACGCACGGAGCAGAGCCCCGGACTTACACAGCCGCCGCGGTCCCCGAGGCCAGTGCTGCTCCGCAGTAGACCCTCCGTCCTGCTCCTGCCGGTACACGTCGTGTAGATGCTCTGGATGGCTTTTAGGGGAGGGCAGATTTATCCTGCTCTGGGGTAATAGGATTATTTACGTCCCTTCTTTTCGAAGGGGTAATCTGATGTCCTTCCCCCCGCTCCGCCCTGGTGGGATGGGGGGATGGGTGGGGAGGGGGTGTCTGGATTAATGCCGCTGGGACTGATGGGCAGCAGATCACGTGTCGGGCTTTCAGCCTGTGCTCTGTGCTTGGGGCCGAGCATGGTGTGGCCCCGAAAGCGGGGGCTGCAGGGTACCGCTGCCGGGGCTCCTGCCTGCAGACGCTGCCAGACTCTACCCTGGGCTGGGTGGAGGTCCTGGCACAAGGGCTGCCCTCCGAGCCTTGTCCCTGCTGGTGCCACCGCAGACGCCTTCACCCGGGGGACAGCCCAGGTCCTGCCTGGCTGAGGGTGTCTCAGGCCAAAATCTGGCAGAAGAGGGGCCGGGCAGCTCCTGCCTGCCCTGCCCAGCCCAGCAGCCCTGCTGTCCACAGGACGGTATCACTCCAAAGCTTCCCTTAATCCCAGCACTAAAGCAATTACAAAAAGGAATAATCTCAGTACACTTTAATTGAACTTCAGCCCCTGCCACTAATTGCAATTAGTTGGACTCCAACAAATAGGATTACAGGGATCCGGGAGTGTTTTCTATGAAGCCGGCAGAACCAGCTACTTCTCTGGCGAAGAGCAGGGCCCTGGTGTTAATTGCCGCTTCCATCTTGGGTTTCGTTAGCGAGCGCTGCTCAAGGGCTTCGTGGCTCCTCGGGGAGCTCGTCCCGGGAGGACGGGGAGGTCTGCGGGGGTCCCAATGGCCGGCAGCCTGCGAGTCCCCCAGCCCAGCCGGGCAGGATGGAGGTGGGGGTGTGCTGGGCCAAACTGATGGGGTTTTAAGATGGAGGCAAAGGCAACTGAGGAAGAAAAGGCACCGTGAAGAACAGCCCGGCAGGCTGTGACCTCGGTGCTGCAGCCGGGGACAGTGCCCTTGCCGTGAGGCTGCCAGGCCCCATGTGCTCGGGGCTGCATGCTGCCTGCTCCTCCTGCCCGGGGAAGAGGCCAGCAGCCCCGGGTGCCTCCCCTGCAAGCCCTTCACACAGAGAAGCCCCTAAGAGGCTTACGGCGCTGGTGGGGAGGGGGGGTCCGGTGCGGCGGCTGGGGCAGGGGGCATGTCCAGCGTGTCATCCCAGCCCTCCCCACTCGCCAGGTCACAGCCAAGCCGCTGAAGGTGCTTAAAATCCAAGCTGGGGAGCGCAAGGACGAGGCAAGAGCAATGGCGCAGGGAGGGCTGGGTGTGTGTGTGTGGGGACACGCCAGCCTGCCCTTGGCCGGGATTTTCCATCCCGGGGGAGAGCAGCATCCAGCTGACGGTAAATCTGGGGCTCAGGACATGCGTGAGCCGCTGCCCGTCCCCAAGGGCAGGTTCCCCCATAGACGAGAGGCGAGACACGACCTGGGCACTGCATGTATTGAAACACACATGGCATCCCCTGCTTGATGATGCACTGGCCTCCGGGGGGGCTCAGACCATCCCCAGCCCACCACTCCCGGAGCTCAACACACACAAATAAATACTTTAAATAAGCTGAGTCCGGATCCCACCATCCAGCCTGGAGCAGAGGCTCCTGTGGGATACCA